TACTCTGCCCATATCAGTTGCATAAAACTGGACTTTTAAAGCTAGCTAACGTGACTTATTCTCTAAAGTCAATGAACTTTCTCAATCAACTTTGGCAGCAGTGGAAATTGCTCACCAACATTATTTCTATGCCTTGCCATCGTCTCCTGACTTCCTACCTTACATTCAAATGTAGAGATTCCCTAAGGGATTGAAATGAACTTTCTTCTCTCCTTCTATACATTGGCTCAGAACCTCCATGACCTTATCCACCTCTTTGGTACTATCTCCTTTCTATAACTGACTTCCCACAGCATTATCCCTAACTGTGGCCTTTCCCCAAACTGCTCACTTGAAAGGCATACCCACAGAAAATCAGAACATCCTACCTCTCACTCAGAATCTGCTTGGTGACAACATAACAATTCCTCCTTGAAATGAGCACAACCCTCCACCCATCCTATTTCCACTTAGGGTATTTCTCCCCCAAGTTATCTAAATTCAAAATTTTAGAAAAAGGCATTGGGCCAATTAACTTTCTTCCTCACATCCTATAAAATAATCTGCTTATATTTAGGATCTTTTATAACTTCTTTCTATACCATTACAATGACCTTTTACTTGGTTTTCCCAAGGATGCATTTCTCAACTCTACTTTCCCATATGCACTATATACAAGATGACAAAAGTAGGTTGCCAGTTGTTCATATGGAAAATAATGCAAAATTTAATAAAGAATACAAGAATAAACTGTTTCATGTACTCACAATTGTAAATCCACTTTTGCCCCACCCTGTATTCATTATATCATATAAATGGCTATCTTAAATTATCACTTTCATTATGCCATTCTGTTTAACACAATTCTGGAATACAAACTCCTATTCTTAGTATGGTATTTATGATTTTTATTTGGTTTTATCATAATTTCCAGTTCTATCTTCCCTTCCCCTTCCTCTCAACATTGGCAATATAAACCATATCTGTTTATTATTTCTTGGACATAGTTCATCCTTTCTGAGCTCAATCTCCTTATTTGTGTATATGCCTCAATTTTCAGACTCTCTTTTCTCCTTTTGCTAAAATCTTCACCTATGAAGATCCTGTCATTTTAAGATTCTCTAAGCTTCCCACCTATAGCCTATGCCTTCTAGCATCAATCAAGCTGAAAGTAATATCTTTTTCTTGTGCATTTCTCTAGCACCTAGTTTATATCCCACAGAAAGTACTTACTATATAGTATTATTTACTGCCCATGTGTTTTCTCTTCCACTTTCTCCACACATTACACAGTATATTTCTCAAGGTCAGGATTCATTTTTTCATAACTTTTAAATCCTACTGCATTTGGTATAGAGTCTTGCACAAAGCTGGAACTTAATTTAAAAAATAAGTCACATGAATTCAGACTAAAACAATTATATCTAGAAGAACAGAAGCTATATAAAAACTGGTCACTAGGAATCACTCCTTTCTAACTCTAGAGTTTACCAAAGGGGGTGACTTTGTGCTATGTAAATTCTCCATTCCTTATATTTAGAAATCCAAACGTTAATGCAGAATCTGGCTTGAGTCCCATAGGAAGAACAAAACCATTTCATTTAAATGTTCCCTCTAGTCCTCAAGAGTCAGCATTTTTTGATGTGCATAAGTGGGAGAGAAGACAGAGGAACGGTGTTGTGTTTTCAAAGTAACTTCCACCAAAAGATCAATTTTCTTAAAGAAAACAGCCTTTAAAAAAAAACAAAAAAACTCAAAATGGCTTTTTTGGTAAAGATTTTCCCCATTATAGAGATATATTTGAATATAATATGAGGTTTAATTTTACAGCACCTCCCCAATCCAATAAATTTTAATAGTGCAATTTTTATAATAAATATATTTCTCTGATTGTGTACTTTAGTAGCAATGTATTGAGTATCCCTCTTGAAGAGATAATATCAGAATCTGAAACTTAAAATTACATAGTCCTGCTAATTTAGATTTCTTTTATTATTTCAGGTTTTGATCAATTGAATTCTTCTAAGTAAATTTTATAGAAAAATATGGCTTTGGCAGAATAGAAAAATTAAATAAATGTATTATGGGACATCCTGAAGAAATAAAATAGGTATGTTATTATATGAGAAATATATCTCAGAAATAACCAACAATCTTTTTAATACGATGATAAGTGGTGTGTACAAGGCTTGCAGTCACATATTTTACTTTGTATAGTCATGATCTGACATGAACATTGCTAAAACATCCACAGAGACCCCACATACAACTACTGATTGTTGTAGTTGGACTTTTAAACAGTGGAAGTAAATGCTTTATGAAAAATAAGAGTAAGAGTAGATTATCATGTAGACAACAAAAATAGAGGAGATAGTGAAACTACTTAAATGTAGAACGGGAATTGAAATCTGTTTTGTTATGTTATATAAGCAGGCAACTAAAATTTATTAAGTTAAAACACAGAAATGACAATGCTTTTATGACAAAGTTAATAAACAGTTATAAGCAAGAGAAATGTTAGATGGATACCTTAATTTAGATCAGATGCTAACTGCTAATAAATCATTACATGGCTATTGTTTAAGTAGATCTCTCCATTTCAGAGGAAGAATGTACTGTATTTTATCAGTCTTGCCTTGGTGACATCTCACTTTCCTAAATTGCATACAGAAAACCAAAACACCTTCCTTAAAACAGATATGGAAAGACCACATCCGAAGATCCATTGACTGTACTTACACCATTTACTTACTGTTAAGTATAAACTTTGTATTCTCTCCAAGTCCATAAAATAATTTATCATTACCAGATAAGGGAAGTAACATTTGAATAAAAGCATTTTTCAAGCACAGTCTGTACCACATTTATGAAGAAACTTTTGGGAGTTTCAGAAAAAAAATGGCTTTGAGCTGGAGATTAAATATTGATTTTACGATTTGGCTAGTCATTTAAAATAAATAATCTCATAAATCAGGCTTAAATCTGAAGTTCCTCAGCATCTTTAATTTTTTAGGTCAGGTCAAATAGCTCAGCTAGCTCTTTCTCACTAATCCACTACAATATGCTGAAGAAGATCTTTTGATCAACCACTTAACAAAAATAAAAGTGACACTCAAGTGACATATTCGATGAGTAAAGGTTAAACTTAACATCATCATCTATCATGTACATTAGGAGCAATGTAAAGAAAATAAAGAAAAAAGAAAGAAAAACAAAAAAAACTAATTCTTGTCTTCAATTAAATTATAATAAGTTTAAGTCCTCAAATGTAACCCTTTTCTGAGAAATGGCACACAAAGATACCCAATTCAGGCATTTACAAAGCTGTGCATGTAGCATACCTCCCCCAGCACCTCCTAACTCCTTTTCCCTGCTCCACTTTTCTCCAAAGCATCTATCACTGTCTGACATGCCACCATACTCATCTGCTTTTGCCCCATCGTCTCAGCGTAGATTGTAAGCTCCCAACCAACAGACAGGTACTCTTGTCAATTTTGTTCACTGCTGTGTATCCAGTGCCTGGTATAGTGCTTGGCACTTAATAGGCATTCAGTAAATATGAGAAGACTATTCTTATTTTTGGATTCCTAGACTTGTGGCCTGCATTTCTTCTCTAAGTGCATTTTCCCATCAAGCTTTCTCTTATGTACACGGTAGCCTAGGTTTCAATGTAATTCTACTTCTTAGGTGTGACAAGAATGAATGTCTCCTGAGCTTCAGCAGAATGGGGATAAAGGAACTACCCGTGGGTTGTTGTGAGAAATGAATGAGGGAATTCATAGGAAGGACTTAGCACAATGCCTGACACATGATAAGTGTTCAATAAATTTTAGCTGTTATCGTTCCTACCATTACAGCTATTAAATTATTCTCTTCTGTTACAAACAGCTCACCAATTCTTAAAAGTACCTCATGATTAATGAAACAAAGGACTTTTTGATTCAGGGCTAAGTTTAATTGTGGTTGAATCTCCTGGAAAAAAACACACCTATTTCCTGTGTGGGTTGCTTTCAAGAACATTAATCTTCTTGTGCTCCCACAGGACCGAAGGTACCTTTCTATAGGAATTGCGATTAGCAGATTATGTATAGCAATTAGCAGATTTGTTCAGTCTTCTCTGCTACATTATGTGGTCTTCTAGGGTGCAAAATCTTCGTATCCTATCACAAAGTGGGCATTCTATAGATGTTTGTTTGCCCAATAGATGAGTTACTGTACAGAAATGAGACGGATTCCATTTGTAGTCACATCACACATGCACTTTCATTACAAAATTACATTTCTCGATAGATGGTGTAGATCCAGAGAGCAGGATAGAGGTCTTAGTGTCAAATAGTGATGCGGAGAGCAGAGCGGAGTGTGTATGAGAATAAAAGTAATGGAATGGAATTCAGTGATGTGCTGTGAATAAAAAGCGCTTAGAAGACCGATACAAAACCCATTCTTATTTCCTCATAAATGGCTCCTCTATTTCAATAGTAATGACCTAATTTATATCCATCGTACTTTATGGGAGTGTGGCTGGCTACCCAGGGAAAAATTCAAATAAAAAAATACTTGATAAAGTTAAAAAGCACACAGCTATTTGACTAGATGTAAGTTATTAGAAATTAGGATCCATGGAATATAAAAAAGGAATACACCTATTTGACTATATGTAAGAATTAAAAAAATACTTATGAGGTTTAGAAGTTCTTAGATATTTAACACCACAGCAAACAAACTTTCAAGGAAACTAATTTTAAAAGCCTTACAAATGTAAATTATTTACAAATGCACCTGTATTTTGATAATAAAAATTTATAATGCTTTATGCAGGATAGAAAATAGACATCTGTACCTCTGGGAAAAGAAAAAAGGTTGAGATTGGCAATTTTTATTGTTGAATTAGCCATTTAGTTGGTATTCAGAAGAAAGGATCAGAGAGAGAAAACCCAGTATCAAGAGGCACCTAGTCTACAACTATCTCATGCTGTGAGTCTGTCCCTGTAAGTAATGCTTCTCATCAGGAAAGTACTTACATTGGGCCTCAGCCTGGCTGCCAGATCATAATACTTCTCAGCTGCTTCATTGAGGCTGGCCTGTCTGTTAAAGAAAAAAAAAAAAAAAAAAAAAAAAAAGAGTCAAACTGTATAATTTATTTTAAAATTGCAGATAAGTGAACAGAATCATCATGTAGCAAAGTAATATTAACTCTTTAAAAAATTACAATCATACTAATCAAATTAGTTGCCTAAGTAGAAAAATACCATTAAAAAATGAATGCAAGGTCTTCGCTGGTTTGGCTTAGTGGATAGAATGTTGGCCCATAGACTGAAGGGTCTTGGGTTCAATTCCAGTGAAGGGCACGAACCTTGACTGCAAGCTCGATCCCTGGCTCTGATCAAGAGGCAGCCAACCAATCAATGTGTCTCTCTCACACTGATGTTCCTCTCTCTTTCTCTGTTTCGGGTGAGGATTAACAACAACAAAATAAATGCATGAAATGTATTTGTCATTGTCTTTAAGGCGGTGGTCGGTAAACTTATTAGTCAACAGAGCCAAATATCAACAGTACAACGATTGAAATTTCTTTTGAGAGCCAAATTTTTTAAACTTAAACTTCTTCTAATGCCACTTCTTCAAAATAGACTCGCCCAGGCCGTGGTATTTTGTGGAAGAGCCGCACTCAACGGACCAAAGGCCCGCATGTGGCCGTGAGCCGCAGTTTACTGACTACAGCTCTGAGGCATTATAAATAGTATCTCAACACAATCTTATTCAGTCATTACTTCAAATTTGTATATTAAAAATTAGAAATGTACTTTCTGTTTCCCAAGTAAACCCAAATAATATGTTACAGAGGTGGGATTCTCTGGCTTCATTTCAACATGATGTCCCAGAAAAATCTTAATTTTTAAAAATAAATTAAAGTTAATCATGAGTTGCTTGTTTTATAAAAATAGTAAATATTTGCAAGTTGTTTTTAAAATCCTGCATCTATATAGAAAGCCACCGTCTTTCCTATTTAAGAGGAAAACCTTCCACTGTATGTAGCCAACAGGAAAACAAATGCCGGCTTCTCTCTCTCTCAGTGGTCTTAGGCCACCAGGCTGGGCACAGGACACAGCCTCAGCTAAATGGATGTTCTCATTTGGAAGGGTTTCATTTCTGAGTGAGTGATAGAAAGATGAAGGGAGGGCTAGAGTTCACTGACAACGGTGGAAGCGACGGGCCGATGTCCTTGCTAGCCTCCTTCGGTAAAGAATTGCTTTTGGATAGCCTGAATCTTGATCTCTGGGGCTACCTTGTTTCCTCATGCTATGTTTTTCAGTCCATGTTGGATTCAGTGGTTCCCACAGCCTTCAGATAGCTAGAGTCGGTTTCTCTTCATTACTAACAAATACCATGAGTGGCAGAGTTGTCTTCAAATAAGACACACACTGAATTTTATATATGTTTATGCATTGTCTATTCTTAAAATTCATAGGAAGCCCCTACATTCAGCCATGTGGGTAGCAGAATAAATAAAATGCTGGCATCCCGAGGAAGCCCAGCCAATTAGCCATCAAAACAGTATGCTTTTATCTTGTCATGTTACTTCAAAAAATCATCAAAGATGATAGATCGTAAGAGCTAGGAGCTCTTGAAGGCTGTGTTATAATCTGGTGACCATATTTAAGAGATGCAAGAGAAGTGCTATAGAAAAACATCAAGTCAACTTCAGACAGTCAACCCCAACTACAATGTGAACACAGTAGTATAAATGGATTCTGTTCCTACAGTTAAATGCGGTAGTGTTCTCTTCAAACTGTGATGTTAAGAAGCCCTTGAGATAAGAAGATGGCAGAGTCAGGAATAAAGAGGAGAAGCAAAAATTAACTTTCTCAATTACAAAACCACCTTCAGGTTTGAAAAGAGAAGGCTAACTAGCCATACCTATAAAATTGAATTTGCACTTTGGTCAAGCCAAATAAAAACTATAAAGACATACCCCATGCAACCATATAAATTATAGAAATAACTGAAGATAACATGTCTCTGGAGAGAAAGACATACTTTTCTAATTTTTAAAGGAAAAATAATTAGAAACACTGCTGTTTTTAATGGGGTTATAGAGAAAGTAAAAACCCTTGACCTAAGGCTCTACTGGACTCATGACATGTTACAACGTGCTGCTGCAATTTACTAGTCTCATAAACGCTGAAGTTCAATTTCAATATGTCAAGGAAAGTACTTTATTCTAGTATGAAAGACTAAAATTTCCCTCACTAGGGTATTTAATGAAGGTTCCCTCCACCAACTTACAGAATCACTTTGGTTCAGATTCATTTGGAAATTTGAACCAGAATTCATTAGGTCATGCCCTGGAAGGGTTTTCTCCAGGGGAAAATAAAAGGCATGGAGGTAGGAAATTAGAGTAACTTAATACTACAAAGAAGTAATTTACTTTGAAGAAAAAAATCAACCCATATATGTTTAACATAGAAGGCACAGCTACCAATTATATTCATTTATGAGCAATCAAATTCATGAGGTAGATAAGGATCAAAAGAGAAACTGAGAAACTCACTAGATGAAATGCCTTTACAACAATAATCAGCATAAGAAAAGAAAAAAAAAGAAGTTTCCCTTTCAAAAATATTCTTATGGGTTTTTAAAGTCTTTATTGTCTTCAGTAGTTTAATTCCCAAAGGACATTAGTCTAGAAGACTTTGTTTAGAAGGCTTAGTTTCTTAGCTAGAAGTAAAATTGATGATATGCCAATGAAATAGAGAAAAAAGTAGAGTTTATTAGATTTGTCATATAACTGAAAATTAATTTTTACACTAGGACTTCTATATTAATGGTCTTCATTGACTACTAGTCAGCAGGCATTTATGACAACACATGGCAAACCAGAGGGAAAAGAGTATGTCAGTTCTGTAAATGTACATTTATATCCATTCCATTCTCTGGACAAGAGAACTCATGAGAAACTGTCTGAGGTCTATTTTATAGTGAATGCTGTATTTCATACTCCCCTCTGTAACAAGTATCCTAGAAGTGCTTAAAAACTGAATTGCAAAGATGACAGAATCATTAATCAAACATGCGAAAACTGAGGGAATTCGAAATATTCTGCCAGTTGCTTAGAGTTGTGGTCGGCAAACTGTGGCTCGTGAGCCACATGCGGCTCTTTGGTCCCTTGAGTGTGGCCCTTCCACAAAAATACCACAGTCTGGGCAAGTCTATTTTGAAGAAGTGGCATTAGAAGAAGTTTAAGTTTTAAAAATTTGGCTCTCAAAAGAAACTTCAATCGTTGTACTGTTGATATTTGGCTCTGTTGACTATGGAGTTTGCCGACCACTGGCTTAGACGATCCTAAGGACTCCTAATTATAGAGAACCTCACCCACTGGATTTTTAGAGAGTAGTTTCAGGACTACTGGGATCAAAGTATTTAATAAAATGTAATAAAATACACTTTTCCTGAATACCAATAGCATTTCTTTCTTTACTATTTCTTTCCTCACAGAGCATTTCTAAAGTTGCTACTTATGTGTCACTTCTACTTTAGATTATTAAAACGAGTCTTAGAGAAGATGATTCCCCTAAGGTTATAGAGGGGTAGGTGGTTGAACTACAATAGATGGGAGTCAAAGCCTCCACACTAACTGTCTGAACCACAAAAACATGCTGGTATCTTTATACACACCGAGATGTAGCACAATAATATGTTGTTCAATATAATGGTGATGACAGATGACCACGTCCATTCCTACATCAAATACTAAGAAAGGAAGAAAACGTGCTTTTTTATTATTATGTTAAAAAGTCATAACTTAAATGTAAGAGATGAGATTTAAAAAGGGGAGAATAGCCCTGGCTGGTATGGTTCAGTTGGTTGAGTATCGTCCCTTGCACCAAAAGGTTACTCTTTTGATTCCTGATCAGGAGGCAATTGATCAATGTTTCTCTCTCATCGATGTTTTTCTCTCCCCCCTCCCTTCCTCTCTCTCTAAAACAAAATCAATAAAAATATATTTTTAAAAAAAGAAAATAAAAAAGGAAATGGAAGAATATGGAGAACATTTGCAGTCTCAGGTTTTAGACATTACTTACTTCCTGCCTAACTCATCTCTCGAATTGAGAGAAGTGAACAGTACCAGACCAAATTGAGCAGAGTACAGTTTTAAGAACAGAGAGAGATGTACTATTCTGTTTTGCCCTGTGGTCTTCACCTTCGCCCCAAAACAAAGAAGGGTGAGAACTGAGAGTAAAGACAAAGAAATAGGGAAGGAGAAAACACAGAACAATGCTGAGTGCTGCCTTTGTTGGGGACTCAACAGGGCTGAGACTTCCCTTCGTTTTTGCAGGGTGTGTGTATGTCTCCTTTAAATATAAAGGGGAACCATAAATTTCCCATATGTCCAAGTAGAAGACTCAGAAGGTAGGTAAAGGGGAAAGCAGTTCGCTTTGCCAAGAAATCTCCTACACCAGATGTAGACAACCTTAGGCTTTAGCCATAATGCACTTCAAAAGTAAATGATGAGATTGTAAGAAAAATCACAGTGTGTACCAAGAAGCTACACTGGGTCCAGATGAGTGATTGTCCCTATCTAACATGCCACCCTAGGAATCAACATTATGTCCCATGTGTACAGAATAAAGATTTAATCATTATGCCAACAGCAGCAATCTCAAATGGAGGCTTCTTTCTTATTTCCAACCTTGCCAAATCACATACATAAGGCCCTCACCTTTTCCACACTATATGTGGTCTCTTAGGAGAGGTAAAAAAAAAGTCCTAGATGGTTTTTGTAAATTGGGCTATGAAGTAAATAATGAACCTTGAACCCCTCCCCCAAATTCATTGGATTGGGCTGATTATATTTTAAAAGTCTTACAATTCAGTTTTTCTGCCATCAGTGAAAAAGTAGCGTCTGAGTGAAAACATATAGTAACAAAAGTCACAAACAAATACTATTTTTGATTATTATAGAATTCCATTTTTGCACATAGACCTATAAAACTTACATCTGTTAAAAATATAGAAATATAATTCATATATCGAACTTCCCTCTCTGGTGTTATTTCATAATAGAAAATTATTTTTTAGAACGT